CTTGGCTGGACCATCTCCCTTAATGATGCCAACCTCCGCTATGAACTGCTTCCCGTCGGATCTGGATGGGCCCAACTTGTGCTTTTCATTCTCCTCTGGGTCGTCCCGATCTTGATGGGGCTGGCGGGAGTTTTCATCTTCATCCGAACCTTCTACCGTGTTGAGCTCAATACCGATGGCAACGTGGTCAAGGAAGACAAGCTCCCGCTGTTGTTCTGGCGCAGGATGAAGGGTCAAACTGGAGGTGATGGCCAGATGGACCGGGAAGAATCCGAGGTTGCCGCCGTGGCAGGCGATCTGGCCATTGCAGGAGCTCCCGAGAAACGCCGCACCGTCTTGATCGCCACCATGGAGTACGATATCGCGGATTGGCAGGCCAAGGTCAAGATTGGTGGTTTAGGAGTCATGGCCCAGCTCATGTCCCAAAACCTGGGATACCAGAACCTCATCTGGGTGGTTCCCTGCGTAGGAGATATCGAATATCCTGAGGATACCCCGACAGAGCCATACGTCGTGAAGATCTTGGACAATCCCTACCTCGTCAATGTGCAGTATCATGTTCTGAACAACATCACCTACGTCCTTCTTGATGCTCCCGTATTCCGGCAGCAGACGAAAGCAGAGCCGTACCCTCCTCGGATGGATGACCTGGACAGTGCCATTTACTACTCCGCCTGGAACCAGTGTATTGCAGAGACCATCAGGCGTTTCCCATCAATCGACATGTACCACATCAACGATTTCCACGGATGCCTGGCACCGCTGTACCTCCTGCCGACACGGACAATCCCCGTCTGTTTGTCTCTCCACAACGCCGAGTTCCAGGGGCTCTGGCCCCTCCGTACCCAGCAGGAAAAGAAGGAAGTCTGTTCAGTCTTCAACCTGCCCGTTGAAGTCGCCACAAAATACTGCCAGTTCGGAAATGTGTTCAACCTGCTTCACACGGGAGCGAGTTACCTTCGATTCCACCAGCGCGGATTTGGCGCGGTCGGTGTATCCAAGAAGTATGGAAAGCGTTCATGGGCTCGGTATCCTATTTTCTGGAGTTTGGACAAGATTGGTAGTCTGCCCAACCCTGACCCGACTGATACTGCGGCCTTGGAGGATACTCCCGATGAGAAAGCTCTAACTCGATCTTACGAGGAACGCATCACGGACAAGCTCGAGGCTCAGAAGTGGGCAGGCTTGACCGAGGATCCGAACGCTGACCTCCTGGTGTTCGTTGGTCGTTGGTCTAAGCAGAAGGGTGTTGATCTGATTGCAGATGTCATCCCCGCCGTTCTTTCTGACCGGCCACAGGTGCAGGTGATATGTGTTGGACCCATCATCGATCTTTACGGAAGACTGGCTGCCATTAAGCTGGAGAAGATCGCTGCCATGTTCCCTGGCCGGGTCTTCTCGCGACCTGAGTTCACTGCTTTACCCCCGTGTGTCTTCTCTGGTGCTGACTTTGCTCTGATCCCGTCTCGCGATGAGCCATTCGGATTGATCGCTGTCGAATTCGGTCGAAAGGGTGCTTTGGGAATAGGATCTCGCATTGGAGGTTTGGGTCAGATGCCAGGCTGGTGGTACACCGTCGAATCAGACGCCACTCGCCATCTCTTACACCAGCTGAGGACCGCCATAAAATCAGCCTTAGACTCGTCTCCAGAAACTCGTGCCCAGATGCGCGCAAACTCCGCTAAGCAGCGATTCCCCGTTCTCGAGTGGATCCAGAAACTCGAGACCCTCCAGCGAACGTCGATCAAGATTCACCATGAGAAGAACAAGGGCACAGTAACTGGCTCTATTCCGGAGTCGGAGAGTGTCTGGGACCTGCAAAACCTTCAGAGTGCGCGTTACTCCACCGTGGCGCTTCCCAATATGGCTCTGTCCAGGTCGGACGGCTCGGACACCCCCCCTGAAGTCATGATTCAGCAAGCCCACACTCGCCTTCAAGAAATTCAAGCATCTGAGGGAAGCAGTCGCGACAGCAGTCTCAACCGCAAACTGTCACTTGGTCGCCGGTCCGGCCCTGGTCAGGGCAGAAAGCGCTTGACGAAGAAGCAAGCGACCGCGAGCCAGATCTCCACCGATCACGGAGAAGATGAGCACGACACCGACGCTGAGGAAGATGACCACAGGCCGCAAGAGGATTACATTTCCCCGGAGGAGGCCATGCAGGCTGTCAACAACACCCTCACTCCTCATGCGATCACTGGCGACAGTACTCCTCGCGCCTCCTACTTGTCCAGACCCGTATCCCCGTACCCTGTCTCCCAGGTCTCCACTCCAGCGTGTCCAACACCGCCGCCCATGACTCATTTCCGGACTGTTTCTATGCTGTCATTGCCCTCTGTGGTTGGCGACCATAACCGCCTCAGCAGTCTCGGTGGTGAGGACAAGGACCAGCCCGTCTTCGAGTTGCAGAAAGTGGACCCAACTTTTACGGACAGCCTTGGTCACTTCACTCGTCGCTTCGAGCAGTCGCTTGACAAGTTGAACAAGAAAAACTCCATTACGGATTATTGCATTGAGGTCTATTTGATGAAGAGTGAGCGCAAGTTCTTCAATTCATACAACGACGCCCAGCTCAAAAAACAACCCAAGGACCGTGCGATCGCTATTCCTAGCTCTGTCAGTGTTGTACATGATGGGCCCAGTACAGACAACCGCCAGTCCTATTCTAGTGAGGACTCTGAACTCAATGGGGAGGATGAGATTGACCGGTGGCTGATGCGGTTGGGCTACACGCGTCCGATCGCTGTTCAGCGATTCATGAGACGCCGCTTGGGCAATTGGCCAGTGTATTCGCTCTTCCTGGGACTGGGTCAGATCATCGCCACCAACTCGGCACAAATCACCCTGCTTGTCGGTCAGGTCGGAGAGACCGCTGTCAAGCTGTACGTCATCGCCGCGATCTACTGCCTATCCTCCATCGCGTGGTGGTTTATGTATCATCGATTCCCGGCCGTCATCTCCCTCAGTCTTCCGTGGTTCATCTACTGCTTGGCATTCATCGTTATCGGTGTTTCGCCGTTCGGTCTCACCTCTCTCGGTCGGTCCTGGGCTCAGAATGTTGCGGCTGGCGTCTACGCCATTGCATCTTCTAGCGGCTCGTTGTTCTTCGCTCTGAACTTTGGAGACCAGGGTGCTGTGCCTGTCAAGGACTGGATGTTCCGCGCCAGTATCATTCAAGGTATCTCCCAGATCTACACGGTCGCGCTCTGGTTCTGGAGCTCCAAGGTCACTGCCGCCGAAGTTGGAGGTGTATCTGTGGCGGCTTTGAGTTCCTGGCGACTCACAGCCGTGGTGATGCCCATCGCTGCCCTCTGCTTCGTCATTGGAGTTCTGCTGGCCCTGGGCTTGCCCAACTACTACCGTCAAGCTCCCAGTCGCATCCTGTTCTTCTACAAGTCTCTGTTCCGTCGGCGCATCATCCTGTGGTTCTTCTTCATGGTCATCGTCCAGAACTGGTTCCTCTCTGCTGCTTTCGGCCGTAACTGGTCCTTCCTCTGGACGTCCAAGCACGCCAAGCCCTGGGAGATTGTCCTCCTTGTGTTCGGCTTCTTTGTCGTCCTCTGGGTGACCATTCTTGTCATATTCCGTGCCCTGTCGAAGGAACACAGCTGGATCTTGCCAGTCTTTGGTCTGAGTTTGGGTGCTCCCCGATGGGCACAAACCTGGTGGGGAACCTCCAACATCGGCTACTATCTCCCCTGGGCCGGCAGCTTGGTGTCGGGATCGATCGTATCTCGCTGCCTGTGGCTCTGGCTGGGACTCCTTGACGAAATTCAACAAGTCGGATTGGGTATGATTCTGCTGCAGACCATGACTAGAGTGCATGTCTGCTTCGTCCTGCTGGCCGCCCAGGCCCTGGGATCCATCGCCACCATCTGCGCCCGCGGCTTCGCGCCCAACAAGATTGGACCTGCGGATATCTCCCCAGATGTGGGCACGTCGGTGGACAAGGTTGGTAACGCATGGTTCTGGATCGCTCTCTTCTTCCAGCTCCTGGCAAGGTAAGCCCCCTTCAACTCTACTCTTGATATGAGCTTCTTCTAACGTCTGAATAGTTGGGGCTTCCTGCTCTTTTACCGCCGCGAACAGCTAAACCGACCCTGAATCATGCCCTACCGGGTCAACACAAATCGCGCATGCCACTACCATTACGTGCGCACGTATCTTCTTTGCAATCACGCATTAAACACTCTTGTCTTTGCTCCTTCCTACGAGGACTTACTGGCAAGGGCAGACATGTCATCATCACTAACACTCATGACCATATACCTATAATTCCCCTGTCTTATAGCATATAGATTTGTATATAAGTCGCATGATCACCAATTGAATATATTGTCTTTCCTTATCACTCCCGTCAAATAGAAGTGCAATTTGAGAATGCAGAGCAGCAAATGCACGTGCGTTGTTTCGACCCACCGGTGTTCTCCTGTCGGGGACGGGGATATTCCTGCGCAACGCTGCAGTGCAAAGCTGCAAGGCTGGCAATGATCAAATTACTATCCGCGGCAAGTCACCGATTGATCTTGGCAAACTCCAAATATGACAGGACTTCCGTTAAGCATGTAGGAAAACGACACTCAAACGACACCGTTTTGTCTCGCAGTGTCCGATCAGCCCGAGCGAGACATTTTACCCTGTGTGCATTGGAAACGAAGGTCATGTTTTAGATCCACTCGGTTAACTAGAGCACCGTCAACGAGATTAAGAAGCCATCCCACCTCTTTTGACGTGCACATGGTGCGGTAGAGGAGCCTAGACCAGGGCAGCTGATATCTGGGAATTGTGCGACTCGTCGTGCATCCCCTTGCCTTAGTGAGGGTCAATGCGGGATTTAAACAACACTCTTCCCCAGGGCTGGTTATCATAAACCACTGGTCTTTCTGATCCCTGGTACCCACAGGCTCAGAATAACTATCACTCCGAGTCGTTTCCATCTCCGAGCCATCTCTCTTGCGTATCTATCAGCTTACATTTACCTCTTGAGGCACCTAGCAAGCATGAAGCCACGCCTGTACTACGACGACGTCGCCTGGGAGTGGGCTGAAGCTATCGCCAATGCATGGTTTCAACAGTTCTTCGACCCCAAGATTCTGCAATCCGTCGCGCAATTCTTGAAAAGACACCATGGCCCTGGAGATGTTGATGAATTCACATATCTGGAGAAAGGCTCGTACAACATCACCTTCCAGATGAAGAACAAAAATGCAAGCTCTACAGTCATACGTTTCGTCCAGCCAGGATCAATCATGTTTCCCGAAGAGAAAGTACGCAATGAAGTTGCCATGATGCGATACATTAACGATCAGACTGCCATTCCTGTTCCTTTCGTTTGTCACTGGGACCGAGGGCACTAAGCCCGTTTATCGGCATGGAATACATTGAACATAAAACAAACATGGATGATGTTCTCAACAGGCCTGGTTGCCCTCGCGAAGAGCGTGGTATTCTCAACCCCGATATCAGTGAGGCCAGGCTAGAGGCATTGTATGGAGATGTTGCAACCGTCTTACTGAAGCTTCCCAAACCAGATTTTCTTGGGATAGGGTCACTGAAACAGGTCGATGATTTCACCTGGGAAGTAACCAATAGACCCTTGTCAATGCCTATGAATAGTCTGATTTGACTGGGTTCGCTACCTCGATCAGAACTTCCCGAGACGACGTTCGAAACCACATCTCCATTATTTCAAAGCATTAGCAGAACTCCATTTTACACACCTCACCAACCAGCGTAATGATGCGATCGACTCAGCTGACGAATGTCCACGGAAGCTTGTTGCTCGATATCTCTTTCGCAAACTTGCCCGGGAACCTCATTTAACAAAGCCGTTGGACGCCTTCGATATCGGCCCGTTCAAACTATGGTGCGATGACTCCCGCCCAGCTAATATCCTCCTGAGCGAAGAGCTGAAGATTGTCGCGTTGTTTACTGGGAGTTCACATACGCTGCACCTGTTGAATTCTCATTTGCACTTCCTTTGTGGCTGCTAATCGAGAAACCTGAATACTGGCCATAGGGACTTGACGACTGGTGCAGTGAATATCAACGACGTCTTCCAACCTTTCTCGAGGCGATAAGAGCCCAGGAGGATAGGGCGATTGAGCAGGGTGGCTAGACGATACCGAGCGGCTGTCGGGTCGTACGAAAGACTGTTGGGCGAGTGGGGATTTCTGGATAGCATATGCAGCGAGGAACAACTTCGCCTTTGACTTGATTTACTCCACAAGATCGATCAGCGACTTTTTGGATCGACGTCTACTCCCATCGATGATGCTTGGAAACAGAGACTGGTCATACTCAAGCCTGCAGAGAGAGCCGAGATTGAACAAATTGTGGCGATTAAGGTTAAGAGATACAGACACGGCCATTGGCCTGGCATCCGGATGGCTACACCAGGGAGGTCGAAGATACCCTCTGCGGAAATAACGTTGACAACGAACTTGGAAGCGAAACGTCCGAATATGGACCAGACGAGAGACTGTGTGCTGGTCCGACAACGCTGGAAGAACTGTCTCTGGTCGGTGATGGCTCATTTATTATCTTTAATAAGCTTTGACGAAAATCAAAGTATTAGCAGTCTAGTAGGTCCGACGCAGCGGAACGATAATATATTCTTTCGAGGAGCTTTCCCTTAATGAATACATTGACTAGGAGTTTCATTTCTTCAGTCGCACACATTGACGCAGTGCTCTCAAGTTTAGTTATAGACTATTCATGATATACTAGCTGTCTATAGACCATGCTTGCTCGAGCGCTCCTTTTGTGCGCCCATGCAGCACTTCTGCTATATCTAGGAAGGTGGAAAACCGCGTGATCATTACGAACAACTCCTTATAAGGTGCGCGGAGAGCACGAACGAACAATTCTACTAGAAATTAGAAACCAAGACAACAGGGCTTGCTTTAGTACATCACCAAAACGCTCACGTCTGACAGCAAGATCGCTTGAACTCAGGGAACTCCTCGGTCCAGACCTGCCACACCAGCCGTTCACCACTAACAGCGCCACTTCTCATAATATCTAAAGCTTTGCGCGCATTATCCAAGAGAGTCTCTCCTGCAACCATCTGCTGCTTATTCGGCTCGATAGCACCTTGGGCCAAGAGCGTTGGCATGATCTCAGTTTGAAGGTGGTCCCGCAAGAATTGATTATAAAGACGAAGTATTATTAGCCCACACTCGGTCGCGATCAACAGGGGGACCCCTATAGACCAGAAGAAGACATAACATGCAAGTGCCGACGTACCTCTTCATAGTTATAAGCCACAATGGGATGGATTCTCACTCCCGATGCCCAGGGCGCTTCCGCAGTGACATCTGGGGAGAGCCTGAGACCGTCTTTTCCAGTTGAGGTGCTGATAACGACCGGAAGGACAGTAGCAACAGCTGATCCTGTTTGTGTCGCAATCTTGGAGATTGGAATCAAGAAACCGTATTTTGAAGCTACGGAGTCAAAGACAAAAATTACTCTCTGAGTGCCCTTGACTAGCCAAGAGTTCGAGGACGGAGGCAGTAATATTGGGATCGCGATAGTCGAAAACGTGTGCGGCACCATAAGCCTTGATCCTTTGATGATGCTTTGGGGAAGCTGTTGCAATCACGTTCGTGCATCTCAACCCATTCCACCCGGACCTGAATTTCCCGATGGGCAGGCTCCAAGTCGGAACATGCTGAATTGTTAAAGGCCCCTTAAGTGCGGGTACGATGATTGCTGGGTGGCTGACCATGATAATGGAGACTATGAGTAAGAAAACGGATCGTAGTGGGATGAATATAGTTGTGCTTTGCGTGCGAACCCAGAGGTCCTTCGCCAGCTTGAGGGCTCATAGTCCATCAAATATATAACCAGGTTCCCACAGACCATGGAGCCCGTCACAACTGGGCTGATGACCACGTTGGATCGAATACAATGCGATTATAAATCCGACTCTACTCCTGAATGATGACAATTGAGCCATTGTATTCCAAACAGTTTGATTGTCAATCACAACGGTGACATTCGAACCATCACACTGCCCTATGAAGGTCTAGCTGATGGAAAACCTAGATAGCGTGCTGACAGTCGGTATCTCATTGGCGGTGTCAGCAATGCACATTAGCTTCCGCGGGAGTGGGGTCCCCCATGTTCTGGTTGAGCCTGCAGGGTGCGTGATGGACCTTGGATACCACGTACAAGGCACAATTAATTTCTGTTATTAGTATATTGTTCTGTAGTATGTACGTTGGCCAGATTGATCGTTGCTATTGGATAATGTCCGTTTACGAAGCGAAAGAACAAGGCGAATAAAGTACGGAATCGAAGAAATAGCAATTGAGATGGAGCCACATGAAGTAGGTAAATTTTCGTTCCGTTCCCATGGGATACTTCAGGTGAAGCAACATGCCAGGGTTATATTGCCTATGAGCGTGCGCTGTCAGTGCCTGTTGGGACATGTCTCGATGGAAAAGAAATATCGCTTATGGTACGGCACGTCGGCAGTTTCTGATCCTGTGAGCTCCGGCAAAAAGCCCTGACACGGCGACACCTTCTGAAAGTGCGGAGATGCCAAAAGCTCCACCCAGGGTCCAGGATGATGGCTACATCCACCGTGTAGAATCCATCATAATCCCATATCTACAAACCCGTCGGGAAACTGTCGGAGTTACTGGACTTTACTCCCGTGCAGTGTTTTGCCCCACAACCATCAAACGCTGCTTCGACGGCCCCGGGTATAGCCATGCAACAGACTCACCTTCCAGATTGACTGTGTCTCAACTCTTGTGCCCTCCTCCCTTCTCGCTGCCTTGACCTGAATTTGGAAGACTCTAGCTGTGACAGTACATCACTTGAAATTGGCCTATCAATCATTGGCGATCACCAAAATGGCTCGCATTCTCATCACTGGCTCGGTCGACGGGCTTGGCCTCGAGGCTGCCAGGCAGCTTGTTAAGAGAGGTCACACCGTATACCTGCATGCACGCAACGAACAACGTGCGATGGACGCCAAATCTGCGTGCCCGGGTGCCGCCGGGGTGTTGACTGCCGACTTATCCAGGATGGAAGACACGCAGAAGCTCTGCGACGATGCCAACGCAATTGGTGATTTTGATGCTGTCATCCTGAATGCTGGAATCATGCAGGGTGGCTTTCGAAAGAATGCGGATACTGGTGTGCCAGCCTTGGTGTCGGTCAACCTTATCGCACCTTATGTGACGTCCTGTTTGCTGCGTCCACCCAAACGCCTCGTTTTCATTTCCTCAAACTTGCACCGGTACGCAGACATGGCAAGCATGGATGATATGTTCTGGTTTAAGCGCGGGGAGGCCAACTACCAAAGTTACCCGGCATACTGTGACTCCAAGCCTCATGTCATGCTCCTCGCCAATGCAGTCGCTCGGCGGTTCAGGAACACATCGGTGACCTCGGTGCACCCCGGGTGGGTGGCAACCAAACTTGACGGACAGGGTGCCCCAGATAAGGTGGAGGACGGCGTTGAAACGTATGTCATGTTAGCCGAAGGGAATTATGATGAACAGAACCTGTCTGGAGGGTATTTCGAGCCCAAGGGGAAGATTGGTCAGCCGATTTCGGCTGCAAGAGATGAGGATTTGCAAGAGAAAGTCGTCGAAGCCTGTGAAGGGGTCACTGGCTTGAAACTGCCGGCTTAAAATGCAGAGCTTTCTATTGAGGGGATGACGAACTATGCCAACGTCTTGACTGATTTTACCATAATATGTGCATAGATATTGACTGCAAAGTACTCCATGTTTTCAATGTCTCATCACTCAAACCTGTGTCATGATAGAATCGATCGAGGAGGACATGAGCCTCCTCAAATTCATCCGTAGAACATATCCCCGATCAGTACAGCGCCCTCGACCGTTGAACACTGTAGGACTAAACAAGATATTAAGAACCTGCCAGAGTAATTGTCTGGACTGCTATCGCCCTGATGAATGTGATTGAGGATAAGAAGTATGGAGTGCTTATGCACTTTGGGGAGCCTCAAATGATCAAAATCGTGAATCCAACTGTGTAATAAAGAAAAATACAGGTGCGACAACCTGACAAGATACGATATGAGCACGTGAGACATGATAACATTTCCTGTCAATCTGAAGTTTGACGATGGCTGTACCTACGCGGTCGATGAGGTAGGTCCAATATTGAAGACAGTTATGAAGGTAGGCGTTCAACTCGATACAGGAAAGGTAAGCAAGGTCAAGGAATCAATATGTGTTCGCTAATGAGGCAACAGGTCATATTCAGTTATCAAAGTGAGGGCTTATGCTCGTGCGTGGCTGCTCAAAATATGGTCAATTAACGAATAGCTGTGGTGACACTGGTACGTCGGAAGTTGTGATGGAAAGATGATACTTGAATTGCATTGACATCTGCCTCAACTATGTTGCTCGGTTGAACTACAGGTCTGCTGTCCCCAAGGATCGCCTTGTGGGGGAATAGACTCTGTGGACTCTTCTGGGGCACCCGCGGTAAACCGTCTCTGTAATGAACTCGCAAGGTAGGCCTTCAAAGAGAAAGAGAGAACAAGAAGGCTTTGTATTCTAAACCAATACTAGCCGTACAACCCACTGGAGCCCTCCCGCGAACAACTAGATAATGGTCCCGAGACGGGGAATACATCAAATTATCAGAAAACGCAATCGCCTCTGAATCCAACACAGATCATTGGCCGTTCATCACCCATATCCCCGACCTTGTATGGAGAAGTCCTTGAAACCGCATCAGCGCAGCTCCTTCTGTGGTCTGCGCTGAGCCAATATGACCCTGCTTTAATCAAGATCGGCGGCGTGGGTCTGGGCTCCGCCGATAAGATGAAGCGTGCCAAAACAATTCCAACGCCGCCCATTTAGCCGCTATAACCCAATCTGGGGTCACTTTGCGAAACCCCACGGCGTCCATTTCAAGATTTTGGGTTTTAGTTTTCTTCCTGTGCGCAGCTTCTTAGCTGAATACGTATGCTCCTAGGCTACAGTATTTCCAATTGTCTTCCGCAGTGATCGCAGATCATAGACATGAATACATCGAAAATTCTGTCTACGTTATTGAATGGAAAACCTAAGAGCCCTGTGGGAGTGCCGACGGACGCTAGCCGTTTTTTCAGTGCATGGTTAGGGGATGAGGAGACGGAAGATACTCGAAATCCTCGGAGATAACAGGCTCTTCATATTGCTGCTGCCCTGGATCCACTCGCTTGAGGATCATTGCCTGATCAGTTCTGTCCCGCTCTCGAGGATCACTGATCTATTTGTCTAGAACGACCAGTAGTATAGATAAATAGAGATGATGAAGATTTAGCCTACCGAGTTCCATTGTGATACCGTGTTCCCACTCCTGACCCTCCCTATTCGATGTGAGTAGCACATCTATGTCTATTCAGATGTCTGCTCAGGGGCAATATCCTATCTCTTAGCATGGCAGAGATGCATAAACGTGATCCTAGTTTTGGCTGCCTGGATCCATCTTTGTGTCACATCCGACTTCCGACAATTGAAACCCAGTCCGAAGGGAATATTACGCATGTAAGGTTCGTGTTTCTTCTAAAGCCGTTCTTACCCGCGGCAGATTTTGCGTCCGACCCACCAGTCTATGGGTCAAACTGGGGTATGTCCGTACATCGCTCCCTGTTTAGAGCATCTAGATTCCTCCAATGAGGGCGGTGGATATGGCGATGATGCACTTTACAAGACACACTGGCGCTTTTAGTGTATTTAGAAGGCCATAAATAAATTCCCGCTATCGCGGACTACATTGCGTGCGCGTCTATCATATCGCAGCTGACGAGGCCATAGGGAGTAGATGGCACCGGAACTCCGTGATGTGCCGCCGGGGGAGCAAGGGATACCCAAAGTAACTAGTGATTGTTATACACGTACTCAGGCGTGTTGAAAGTCGGTGGCCTGGACTGCTAAGGTGCGATCGGGATTCATGTGCACCTTGACCACACTGCTGCAGCATGAGCGGCTCATGATCACCGATTGTAACTTCCTCATCGTGCTCCCGGGGCCACTTCTTCATGGAAGATCAATCATTACTAGTATATAATTTCTGATAGCTATAAAAGGGCCTCCTGTACTTCCAGTACATCGTCTCTTTCATTCTTCTCCTTTCATAGTCACTCATTTCATCTCAATTAATAAGTAAAGACTACTTACCGTCACAATGAAGGGCTTTGGATCCGCCGTTTCTATGTTTCTTTCTTTGGGCACAATTGCCGTTGCCTCGGCGTCCTGCGATCCGAGTACCCTGAATACCACAAGTTATCTCTACGATATCACCGAAGAGACTACGGTGTTCGAGGTTGCCCGCAAGACCAATCGCGGTGTCTGTGACATTGGCCGACACAACCTTATGGCAGATGTGACCATTCCACCTAATATTGGCGAAGTCTTCATCATCCCTGGTGAAACCTGCACTCCAGACAATGAATCCTGCCTGATCAAAGACGTGGGCCGTACCCGGACTTGTATCTACGGTGGACCACGTTTGTACTACACCGTCAAAGGGGACACATATGAAAAAATTGCCCTCCGTCTCAACATAACTACCGAATCACTCTCGGGCGGTCAGTCCGCTAATGAAACATTGCGGGTTGGCCAATTTCTCAAGGTCCCCGAGTGCTCGCCGAGTCAATGTATCATCCAGCCTTATTCGTTTGAGTGGGGTGTGTATAAGGATCTTGCTGACATGTATGGGACGACTGTTGGCCAAATCATGATGCTAAGCCCGACCTACAACTACAGCAGTCTGGCTTTCAGCAACGGGGGAACAGCTCCGCCAATTGATCTTCCGATCAACTGCACTGCTCTGTCGAGCAAAATCACCGTTATCAGCTAGAGTTGTTCCCTTTTGGGGGTCTGCTGAAGAGACGGCTTTATCCAGCCGTATGCGTTCATCATTGCTTCTATTCTGCTCAAAGCCCAAGTACTTTCCTTTACGTTCCAACTGGGTGTTGACTTTAATCACGGGTTTGAGAAGGGGTTGCTGTTGGAGAGGCGTTTTAACATTGCCTATAAACTTAAGGAGCTTTACAATCCAGGTCTAGATGATGAATACATCAATGGCCACGCTTGAAACAATAAAATTGGAAGAAGGTAAACTATCTTGTTTGTCGGTTGCGGCCGTAGTCATAAACCCTCTGTAAGAATTGTGATATCCCAAACCGAACTTCATACAGTCCACACTATATTCTTGCCATTGTAGAGTCCGCGTTCATAAGCCTCTTTGGCGAGACAAGAAGAACGCTTGACTCAGGTGAAGCCCCCGGCTGCATGCTGTTTGAGTCGTAATCTAACATCTTGGAAATACACCATTGGGCAGTAGAGTGATTCAGACCAGTCGGAAATATTGCGTATACTCCCCATGTAAAGTCTGAAGGACCCAATAGGAATGAAGGCGGTTGCCTGTACAGAGGGCTCGAGGCTCCGTTCGGCCCTGTGATGTCGGAGGTAAAAGGATTGCGCAGCTACCTCTTTCGGTTCAAAAAACGATAGTAGTTACAGCCGATGCCGCAATTTCTAATCACCAAAAGACGTACTTCCCCCCCCTTCCAGTCCTCACGTGCGATGTGGGAGAAAGAGTGGATGGGCCTCTGATCCCAATTACAAAACGTCCTGCCTCGGCTTGCTGGGAACGATCCGATCATTTTCTACGAAGGGCCTGAAACACTATGGCTGAGCTCTCATGCAATGCATGCGGGAGCAAATCTGGACGAAGAAGATTATCCCGTGTTGTTCGACAAAACAAGCATCAGAGGGGTATAGAGCGGCCCGGTCGAGGCCCGAGATTGCTAGGAGTGGCGTAACATAGTGTATTTTCTCCACCGGTCCTTTGAGATGGAGTAAAATTACGCAAGGTTGGCAACCTCAAAACCGGCATCCTTTACGTGTACCTGATTGGGAGGGCGCGGATCGCTTCGGGTTGGCAGGTCCGAGGGACAATTCGCTATACGAGGTGCAACAAGTGATCGCCTGCGGGTATCCATTTCAGGGTTCAAGGTCCGAAAGGTGGAGCTCCCGGATATTTCTCTGCGCGGCACCTGCATTTTTATGACCCTCCACACTAGAAGACACTAACTTAAGCCCTGAGGGCCATACTCCAGTGCTGAGATAGTTCTTCCCATCTAAGCGAAGATGGCTCTGGTCCTTTCCAATTGTCAGCGGGTACATCACCACCCAATCCCACTCTTCACAGTCCTGGGTTCCGAGTTCTGACATTTAAAACGAAGCTTGGCCCTGCTTGCTTATCGACTACTGCCCAAATTTGTCTCAGAACTTGGTTCGATAGCGGGCTATCGTGTGTGAGCGGTGACCTGCTTTCTGTTATCTTTATATCTGCCCATTCAACCAATCCCTGTCACCCCTGCCGCTAGGAAGTGGAAAGAGCCATGTTGGTTTCGAAGGCATGGGCCTGGCTTGCATTAGCCACTGCCACCCTAGTCTCTGGTGCATTACATGCAGAAGACCGGGCTAGGAGAGAAGCCACCTCAGAAACAAAACTAGGTACCTTTCTCCACAACCGCATCAGTCCCAACTATTCCGAGCTGTATATTGCCGAGCCAGACGGCTCCAATGAGAAGCTCCTCCTGGGTTCCAACACCGTGTACGAATTCCGAGCCAGCTGGTCCCCTGACGCAAAGTATGTTTATTTCACATCGGAGAGAAGAGGGAACGGCCAGGCGGATATCTACCGTGTCGCCATTAATGGCACCAGTACCGTGGGGGCAGAAATAGAAGAAGTCGCTTTGTCACCCGGTGTCGACGACTCTGCTTCGATCTCCCCTGATGGCAAGATGTTGGCGTTTGCAACTTCGAGATATAATCAGACTAGCCAGATAATGCTCATGATCCTGGAGACCGGATCGCTCAAGAACCTCACGCTCATTCCCGGTATCTCCGAGGCCGCCAACTCTTCACTACCCAATGGATACTTCAAGCCGACATGGTCCCCTGATGGAGAATGGATCGTCTTCACATCCGATCGCAACACCCCATGGCGGGGCCACAGCGACGGCTCTGGTTGGGAGCATACCCAGGAGTTGTCCATTTACGCAGCCCGCCCCAATGGTACCGACTTTCATCTCGTCTCGTCTCGGAGCAACTACACCCAGGGATCGCCTAGATTCTCCTCAAATGGAAAGCGCCTGGTCTTCTATGAGATGTTGACCGAGGACACATACAATGGTCGCCTGCAGCCTGAGCTGCTCGAAGGATCTTATCTCAACACCAGCATCGTCTCGATTGAGTTCGCCACTGGTGGTGACCGCATTGTTCATGCTACTGGAGATGGGACCAAGATCAGTCCTTCATTCGTCACCGACGATGTAAGTATCCTGATTCAACCACACTGTAGCATTTCATACTGATTATTGAATGCACCCGACAGGTTATTGGCTACGTCATGAAAGAGGCAGCCAGCAATGGTATTTACTACACCTCCATCTCGGGTAAAAACTACACGCAATACCAGACAATTCCCATGAATACCATGACACCTGCTATACGCTCCCCTGCCTGGTCGCCAGATGGCAAATATATCATCTATGAAAAACAAGGTCCCACGGGCGGTAGTACGTCGACATCGAAGACTCAGTATTCCCCACTGTGGAACTTTGACCCGGATTGGGACTACCGCTTCACGGATGTTTTCCCGATGGCCAAGCGTGGAGGCTGCCCTATGATGGCCATGTCACAGCAGATGGAGGGTGTCGCAGAGAGCAATCTCATGCGTCTCCAAATGAACGGCACTGATCAGGTTACCCTCTTCGAGACCAAGAAGGGCATGATCAACCCTTCTATCGCGGAAGGCTTTAACGCCCGTGCCTATCAGGGCAACTGGGGACCGAATGATACCAACATCACGTTCGGCTACGGTGCATACTTCGTGGGTCGCCAAAGTAGCCCGGGGTTCATCTTCAGTGTTACCCCGGAGGGTACGGGCGTGACTCTCCTCGCCGGCAACAACATCACCAACTACGGATTCCCGTCTTACAACCATGATGGCACCCAGGTCGTTTTCCGGACCTGGCCTGGTACTGCCTCCAATGGTACCACCATTGGCACCACTGGATTGGCCATTGTCGATCTACCCTCTCGGCAGGTGATCCAACTCACAACCGAGTGGGACAACCTCCCGACTTTCTCCCCTGATGGCAAGAAGATCTTGTTCACACGGCGCACCAATCTGGATAACATTGGCGACAACTACGACATTTTCACCATGAACCCGGATGGCAGCGAACTTACGAAGCTCACTCCCTCTATCGCCAGTGATGCCCATGCTGTGTGGACCCAAGATGGAAGTATCCTATACAGTACCGCGATGTTCGGCTTCCAGCAGGAGGCACCCTTATACGATGATTCTATGCAGCCATACGCTATCATCGTGCTCATGGAAGCCGATGGTAGCAACAAAACCGTATTGTCGAACAGTTTGTGGGAAGATGCCATGCCTATGTTTGCGCCCGCTCATGTCATGGAATCCCATTGTTGTTCCTAGGGTGGTGAAAGAGGTGGATATTATGACTGATTCTTTAAATGGTGGGATCTCCACTTCCATCTCCTTTTATTCTTCTTGGTGGACCCCTTACCTTCAACTGGCTTCATTGTATATAAGAAATCTTGTTGTGTGTGTGTCAATGCCAAAGACTCAATTGCGTTGTTATTTGTTCTCAACTGTGCCTCTTTGCCATGTACTCATACTGCGCAAATGTAAGGTGGTGGCAGAGTAGGTCTTGGACTCTATCTGAAGATAGTACTGGCTCACTGACCCGACTCAGCATATTCGCTGAGATAATGGACAAGGTGTCGCAAGAAAATGGCGACTAAGATGTCGAGCTCCCTCTATTACTGCCAATTGAATGTTGATTGCTCGACGATGTTCTCGGTATGTCTAGTCGTGCTGATCGAAACAACCGTCAAAAGCAAGCTTGGCCGCACCAAGAAGCCTGATCCTGGGATTACCCGAAAGTGGAGCGACAAGCGGGCCGGGCGGATTTCCCGCCATGGCCTTATCAACCAGCTCCTTCACTGTTAACATCCGCGACTCTCAACTGCGCCAATTTGCTGGATGTAAAGACCACCGTGCTGTAAGTCGTCACAGAGAATAAACTCTTCTTGATCATAGTCGTTATCAGAGTAGCAGCCTGCCACGTCGCCCCTCACTTCCTGTCCGCGTCAAAACCACGAGCAAAGCCGTCTCCCTCATCCATCAAGCGGCGCGCAATGCCGCCCACGTAGTTGTCTTCCCCGAATCCTACATTGCGGCCTTTCCCCTCTGGAGTGCGCTGCGTCCACCCACGGATAATCACGATCTGTTCTCCCGTATGGTGGCGAACTCTATCGCCATCGATGGCGAAGAAATTGCTGCGCTGCGGACTGCCGCTCGTGAGACCAACACTGTGGTGAGCATCGGCATTTCGGAGCGTAGCCTCACCAGCACTGCCTGTCTCTACAACTCGAACCTCATCATCGACAGCACTGGCTCCATCGCTGTGCATCACCGCAAGCTGATGCCAACCTTCTTCGAGAAATTGACCTGGAGTCCCGGTGATGGGCACGGGCTACGAGTCGCTAATACCCCGTACGGCAATATCGGCGGGCTCATCTGCGGAGAGAACACGAACCCGCTGGCACGATACGCTCTTATGACGCAACGGGAGCAGATTCATATCTCGTCGTGGCCATGCATCTGGCCTACCCGAATGTTGGATGCCCCTTCCGAGGCGGCGGGTAGTACCGGGGACCCTTCTGCTACTACCGCTGGGTCGAACTACAACAATGTCCTGGCCAACCGTCTGCGCGCTGCTACCCATTGCTTCGAGGCCAAGTGCTTTGGTGTGATGTGTAGTGGGTTCCTCGATAAACCCGCCATTGATACCATTGTCGCTGGAGCCCGTGACGCCGCGCGGATTCGCCGGACCTTGGAGCTCTCACCGCGCGGCGTCACCATGTTCCTCGATCCCACTGGTTCCCCGGTCCAGGGGTTCATGGTGACGGAGCCGACGCGGGAGCAGCAGACACGGGAGTTTGTGCAGATGGAAGAGGCAGTATTGTATGCGGACTTGGATTTGGATCTTTGCGTTGAGGGAAAGCAATATCACGATGTCGTGGGTGGTTATCAACGGTTGGATGTTTTTGATCTGCGGGTGGACCGAACTCGGAGGGAACCGGCGAGATTTACGGATACGGAGCATACTATTCGAGACGACTAAGTAACGCTCCAAGGGCCAGACAATAGAGGTGATGCTGATCATATGTTCCTAGCCTGTGAATGCTATCTGCCATTAAACACACACTCATCTGATAATAAAAGGGTGAAGGAACTGGACCAGAGGATCATATTTCGATAGGTCCGGAGCACCCCCTTCATTAAGTTTGTGGTGTTCTGATTACATGACCTCTACTGAACGACACGATAGCATCCTACTGAGCTAGCCGAAATCCCGTCAGAGTAAAACCCGCGTCAATCACCAAGGATTCCCCATTAATAAACGAAGCAGCGGGGCTAGACAGAAAGACAACCGCATCGGACACCTCTTCCACCATGGCGGTCCTGCCGAGTGGGCATAGCTTCTGGATTGCTGGGCCCAGCGCAGGAAAGTATTCATTGCCCCTCTGCATCATTGGCGTATCAGTCCACGACGGACAGACAATGTTTACACGGATCTGGTTCTCAAAGTTATCCACGGCGGCGGTCTTGGCGATCCCAATGGTCGCGTGCTTGGACGCTGTGTATGGCATCATGCCAGCTGCTGATATCATGCCGTTGATTGATGCAATGACGACAATTGACCCGCGCCCCAGACTGCGTGTTGTGTTGCTGCGTGTGCTGGTGTACGAACGAGGCTCTTGGCGTGCCATGGCGTGGGTGACGGCCCGCAGCACCATCATCGATCCGCGGGAGTTGGTTGTCATCAACTTGTCAAAAGCCTCCACGTTTAGATCGGAGGTGGGTGAACGCTTGGTCGAAATGCCCGCGGAATGGACGCAGTAGTCAATTCGGCCAAAGTCGGCAACAGCGCGTTGAATCATATCGTTAACACTGGCTTCATCGACGACATCGACGACGACAGCAATGGCGCGAAAGCTAAAGTGAGAGGAGAATTTTTGACACTCCTTCAGAATGGCCTCGTCAGGGAGGTTCAGATCGGCGAGTACAATCGACTCGACGCCGGCTTCGGCGAGCGAAAGGCAAACATCTTTGCCAATGCCGGACGATGCCTAGTAGGTCAAAGCATAGTTAGGATTGATTATATTGTGCTGCTGTCTCGAATGCTTGAAGGTACACGGGGATTAATCTGCGCAAGATGGGGTGGGAGGAACTCACCCCAGTCACAAGGGCGACCCCTCCATCGAGTTCCATGCTTGCCATGGTGGGTAAGTACAGTAGTAGTAGCCTCGAAGATGCAAGTCAATATTGTTAAGTGAGGGGAGTCCCAAAGAATTCCCCAAGGCTGAAGACTATGGTGATGGAGCAAAAGGAGGAGCACAGCACTACTCCCGAGGATACGAGATGGAAGGGGAAAATAGGAACGGGGAAGTGAGGTCTTGGAACGGATTTCGGGAATTAGGTCTTATTGCTGCGCACTGCACTAAATAGTGATGATCCCTGTTCGTATACCATTAGCGGTAAGCTGGTTGTTTGTAGTGCGACGCACAAACACAAAGAGAACGCAGCCTCCCGCTCATTGACTGGTGCACCTTACAATCTAGTACTTTGTCAATCGCACCCCACTATCATCACTGCTAAGTATACCAGAGGAATATGATCCTTCTGCCACCAAAACAACGAGGCCACATACTGAAGCTGGAAGACGGCAAAGGGCCTCTGTTGAGTGGAATAATGGCTGCATCTGCTTGTGCACTCTGTGACTGCCGCAGATGGGATAGAACGAAGCCGTTGGCCACCGCGGTCAGGATAGAGTTCCTGATGCAACCACCCATAACCCAGAAATAGACTTCGGTAAGAACTTAACTATAATTTCCTCTTGCTTACCAGCTGCCTAGGTAACTACCAGACGCTCAGGAGACATCTGGACAAAGGTGAAGATTTTGCGTGATTCCAAATGGCGGGTGTTCCTTATTCCGTTAGGAGGCATTGTACAATTGGCTAATCGATGATTTAGGGTGGGGCATACGATGTATGGACGTTGAATCTCGTAAGATTCGTAAGATATACCCAATCTGGGATCCCAAGTATAATACTTGCCCTAGTGATCAGAGAGGATTTTCAAAGCAGGAATTCCGAGGAATTGGCCGCCGGCGATGGCTGCAGTATTAATTGGAAGAATCTGGCATGCACATCTCTCGAACAACGATTCTCAATCCTCTACAACCTTTCACTACACCTATACCGACAATGTCATTGTCCGTATCTCGAGGTATATGCACAGGTAGGTTATTTACCTGGTGATGGGGGTCTTATATAATCAAACTATCAATCAAATAATGGTACTTAATAATTGTTAAAGGACGGGGTTCAATCACACGAATTGCTCTCAAACTCCCAATAACACCTCGAAAGGCCAACCCCTCAAACAGCCGACGACTATATTCCTCCCTGACCACTAGCGGGAAGCCTAGGCAAGAAGTGACCTTACCCAGCCAAGAGACTCCTCAAAGTGCAGTCCAATATGCATTGTTCGGACCCAATAGCTCATTTCAACCGGGCTGAGATCTGACACCTATAGAACAACCCTCGACCAAGTCGCCAATTGGGCCCGACAGGGCTCCGTATACCCCATGACATTCGGACTCGCCTGCTGCGCCGTCGAGATGATGCATATAGCTGCACCACGGTACGACCAGGACCGCCTCGGCCTCATGTTTCGAGCCTCGCCCAGACAATCCGACCTTATGATTGTTGCGGGTACATTGACAAATAAGATGGCGCCGGCTTTGCGGCAAGTATATGATCAGATGCCTGAACCGCGATATGTGATCAGCATGGGGAGTTGTGCCAATGGGGGTGGCTACTATCACTATAGTCATTCTGTGGTTCGGGGGTGTGATCGGGTTGTTCCGGTGGATATCTATGTTCCTGGTTGTGAGTATTCTTCCAAGTTACCGCTTTGTACGTTATGGCTATTAACATGGCGAGGTTTTTAGGTCCCCCCACGTCGGAGGCATTGCTGTATGGGATTTTCCAGAATCAGAGGAAGATGAGGAGCAGGAAAGTCACGCGTATATGGTATCGACGATAGATCAGGAAGTAGGTCTATTGCAGAGAGCCTCAATAAAGCCGTTCATAATAGTATTTAAGTGGAGAAAATTGTAGAACGCAATGATACGGTACCCGATGTGTAGTGCAGCAGGAATGTTGGGTGCGATTAGTCATCCGGTGGCGCGGGAAAGACTTGAAGAGGAGGTTCGCGAAACGACACCATTTACGTCTATCTTCCTTCCCCCCCTGAACATGCATACCTTCCATGCCTAAACCACCAATGGCTCGAAAATCTCGTCATGGCTGCTCCGAGTGCAAACGCCGAAGTGTAAAGGTATCATTGTGATGTCACTTCTGTGTCAATGATTGGCTTCTCTGACATCGGAATGCAACCAGTGCGATGAGAAACGCCCGCAATGTTCGAATTGTGAACGTCGACGGGCGACCTGCCATTATGCTACTTATAACCCTTGGGCTTGGGAGAGTAAAACACTAGAGCAGGCAGTCCCACCAGAAGAAGGGATGTCAAGCCATGTCGTAAATGAGTCAGTGCCGCAGGAAGCCGGCTACGAAGGATTGGCGCGTGTGGGCCAGTTCAATACGCAACATCTGAGGTTACTATTGACCTGGACAACTTCAACCTGTCATACTATCTCCAGGATTAATGCAGATGCTCGCATATGGCAAGAGAACATCCCTCACCAAGCCTTATCATGTCCTTCTCTGCTTCATGACATCTTCGCCGTCTCGGCGCTTCATCTTGCCCTTTCTAGCGATTGTGAGAGGGCGGAAAAGCAGGCCCTCATAGAAGATGCAGAAGCCCACCAGAGCGAAGCAATCAAGATGATTATGGAATTTGATAACCAACTAGAATCATCAAAGCTGTTTGAAAGTTTTGTGCTTTCAAGTCTTCTCGTAGGGTCTGCCTTTTCATTTCCTTTGGCCGTTGCTACACACTGTGAAACAGAGGGAAATATGCTAGACGAGCTGATAGGGGTGTTTATACTCATCCGCAAAATGATGAGCTTTTCGACACCTATAATCCTTCGCATTCAGGAGAGTGAGCTATGTGGTCTTTTGCTGAAGGAGGAGACTCAGTCCAGTCCGTCTCAGTCATCACAGGAGGCAATTGCGTCTCTTCATGAGCTCCTCAATACAACATACTCGCAGGAGAACGAGAATCATCGGGCCTTTGCTGACACAATTGATTGCCTGGAGAATCTACTCGGCAGGCTTGATGGCGCCGGAGAGATTGTTTCATGGTCTTTTAACTGGATTTGTGAGGTTCCAGCCGCCTTTATCGTCCTCTTGCAGGAGCACAACCCACTTGCACTAGTAATTCTCGCTCATTACTGTGTCGTTCTGCACCAGCTGAGAGACCGTTGGTGGATCGCTTCATGGGGTCAACGCGTACTTGACATCATTGCAGGAATTTTGGGTCCTGCTTGGAAGTCTTCCATAGCCTGGCCTGTTCATGCAGTCAAGGGTCAGTATCAGTGATGATCCTCACAGACATCCCTGTAACAGATAATGCTAGTGCCATGTTCGTGTCAGTATCACGGGTCAATTTGCAACAAGAAAGCTCAGTTGGGGAAGCTGCAGCTGACAGGACAAATAAGATGATGGGCGACCGCATTAGTCTACGTCACAGCACTGTTTGTTATGGTGAGTTTGAAAATCTTGTTTTCTCGGTTGTCAGAGGCTTTAGAAATCTAGGTTGGAAGTTCCAGACAAAGCTGGAGGATATTGACAGATTGCCAAATGAATCCAGCTCCAAGAATCCAGCTCCATCACGTGCTTGACTGATTTACATGGAATGTTCTTGAAACTTTTGTATCTTGTTTACGCACCACGTGTACATACCGTATACTGTGTACCGCTATAACAATACAAATCACGGTCATCTTTGGGTACTATCTAAAACATGATCAGTGTTTCTTGGCGTGGAAATCTAAGGCTGCCCTCACAGTCGGCAAACTGCTCCTGTGCTGTCGTTAAGAATCCCGCTGAAACATCGCTATAGGTACAGCTGCTGTACAACCGCTCGCCATTAGACGAGGTAAGTGCCTGGAGGATCTTCCGGGTAGTTCCGCCTGTCCCAGCGCCGACCTCCAGGACTCGCATGACGGGGTTGCTATGACCGAAGAGCGCCACCGCATCTGCGTATTCTAAAGAGTCCGTGATAGCACAAAACTCTAATATTTGGTCTTGCCGGAGGACCTGTAGCGGATGGGCTTCACCGGTGAAGATTGTTGGAGCGGCCATGAAAAGGTGCCAATGCACCCTCACAGTCACCGTCGCGCAGCGCCTTACAGGCGAGGTCGACGCATACCAATGATGAGGAGCATCCAGTCTTTATAGTCATGCTTGGTACTTATTATATTCGCACTTCAGTTGAAGGATAGTATGACAAAAAGGAATAGGCCTACCTAGGGCCGCTGAGATCAAACTCGTACGAATTACGATTCCCCAGCACAAAGTCATCACAGCCCGTAACGCGTTAGGCACCCATATGCTGTGTCTCCTTTGCATTCAAGTCCAACCAGTCCTGGCCAAACACGCCGGCGTAGCAGCCGATCTTTCGACCCCGCCACAGGGTGCATCCCGCATTCTCCAGGCACTCATACGAGACTTCGAGGAGCTGGCACTGCTGCGGATCCAGCCGTTCCAGCTCTTTCTTGAGGCTGGAAAACACATTGCTATCAAATTGGCGGACATCAGCATCGTCGAGAAAGTAGCCCTGTCGCATGCGCACCGTTCCCGGCTTGCCATGCGGATCGTGGAAGGCGTCCAGGTGATACCGGTCCTTCGGCACGTCACAGAGCCCACTTCGCTTCTCGATTAGCATCCGCCAAAAGGATTCGCTGTCGTTTACTCTGCCAGGCAGCCGCATGGCCATGCCCACGATGGCGATAGGCTCGTGTGAGCGTGAAGCATGGTTCTGTTCATCAACCGTGATCCCCATTACGTCGTACTTGGAATTGTGGCTGTTCAATGAAGATTGAATGAAACTACTGAAGTGAAGATTGATTATTTGTTCTGTCCATACAGTGATGGGGTTGTGCACTTGATGTAATAAAACATGAAGGTAGTGCGAGAGGAGGCACGGGCCATATCGACCAAGCCCTGTTGCAAGTTGGAACAGGTTAGGGTTGCAAAATAGAAACCGGGTTCTGTTCCAAATCCCGCAGACCAGTACAATTATGGGCCGAATGTGACATCGGATAGACGGTCATCACTTCAATAACGCCGATCTGTATGACTCACATAGGAATAGTCGCCGACCTTCACTTCGCAGAAGATATACGCCGACCCAGCGGATGCAAACTACCTCAGTGCATAGTCCAGGTTGTCTGTGACCGCAAGTCAACTTCATGTCCCATTCACAGCCCAACCTGGGTCCCACACTGTGAATTACTAAGACGAAATAACTTCCACAGTCAATCCACACTGGCCCAAGACAAGTGAAACAATCTCCAGAACTTTACTTTGTCTTTATTTCAATTTCTCACTGAAGCATACTGAGCGTCAACAACATAGGTGATCCCAGACACCAAGCACCCTCCTTCACCAAACATGATTTTCAAGCTGTTTAATGGCGTAGGTGAAGCAGGAGATATAGGTATTGCATTGCTGGTTAGTTTCATATTACTTGTAAGTGCATCTATCAGACCCAACTAAACTTTCAAGACCGACGCCAATCCAACGGGCATTGGGGAGGCCAGGTTCTAACGCGGGCCCTGTATCTGGGGGTCTTCCATCCTCTGGCCAGATACCCAGGTCCTCTCTTTGCGCGGTTCAGCAATCTATATTCTGCGTATCATGCGTGGTAAGGGGACATTCATATTGACATCTACTGCTGCCACCAGCGATATGGTAATTCTCCCTACACCAGAAGATGTGAACTTTAGCTCCGCCTAACATTAGAACAGGGAACCATGTGCGCTATGCGCCCAACCGGCTACTAATCAACACGGCAGGGGCTGTCCAAGATATATACGGTCATCACGCTCCCGTCAAGAAATACGTGAACTACCGGGTGCTGGCGCAACAGGCACCTAATATCCTCACGATGCAAAATAAACTCCAGCATAGCCGCCGACGCCGGGTTCTGAGCCAGAGATTCTCCGCCCGCAGTCTTGAATCGTGGCAGCCCAGGATCGTCTCTCAGCTTGATCGACTATCCCAGGTCATACGCGGATGCTTGATCACGACGCCCTCTTCAATGGAGGATGGATTGACGACGCCTCTTGACATGGCACGCACCTGCAAGTCTCCTGTCAACCCTGAAATATGATAGCGTAGCTAACAGTCGTCATAGTTGACCGCCTCACTTTTGATATGATGACCTCGGTTTCTTTCGGCTTAGACTTCGACACTCTCCGATCGTCGAACTATCGCTATGTGATTGAGGCAATCTCCGCGTCGAGCATTCGACTCAGCGTGCTTCTGCAAGCGCAAGAACTGGCGACAGGTAACCTGGACGGCCGATTATTTCCCTCGTCCATCGCTGGTCGCAGGCAATCTGTTCGAATTATCCGAGAACTCCTGGGGACGCGGCTGCGTGGCCTTGACAAGGGTGGGGACCTGTTTGCCTTCTTACAGCAATGCAAGGACCCTGCCGCAGGCGAGGGTCTGGGCCTGACGGAATTGAGCACGGAGACTGCCACCTTTATTATTGCTGGTCGGTGACCCTCGGCCACCCTTTGCTATCGCGGCCAGTGCTACCATGCTGACGAAAGGTCAGGATCTGATACGTCATCAACCACCATGGCTGCCGTATGCCACTACGTGACCGGCTCTTCTGAATGTCATCGCTGAGTAACAGACGAGGTACGGTCAGCATCTGCCTCGCTGACAGATATCCGCCTGGAACCAACCTTGAATTCGTGTGTGTTTCTGCGGGCCTGCGTTGATGAAGCCTTACGCCTCTCGCCACCGGCAGCCAGTGCTCTCTGGCGGGAAGTTGAGGACGGAGGCGCCTCCATCGACGGACACTGGCTTCCCCGGGGCTGTGATGTCGGGGTAGGAATCTACAGCATTCATCACCACGTCACCGAGTGGCCAAAGCCCTTTCAGTTCAATCCTGACCGGTGGCTGGAGGGTCGGGGACTCAGGAAGTCGACGGCCGCACGTACATGCCCTTCTCGATCGGGGCCCAGAGCTGTATCGGTTAACCGTTGGCGCTGGCGCAGGTGATGCTCACCATGGCCCGTCTATTCTGGGAATTTGACATGTGGAGGCTGGATCGAAATGACAGCGAAGCCAAGGATATTGGGTATGTGGTGGCGGATCTTGTTACGGCCGGGGGTCAGGGTCCCATGTTGTCTTTCCGACCGCGGATTTGACACGCACCAGCGGTTACGCGGTGGTGCTCAAATTGTCAATTTAGATCTGCTTCCACACAGCTTAATGGTTTGTTTCATTGCTCCATATATCTGTCTTCGTCTACAGTACTACAATCTGTGTCGATAAATAGTACTAATAATACTATTGTGGACTAGTAGTAATATCCCGACCGACACTTCGGTACTGACTTTTACTTAACAGTCCTTCTGACTCTTCAAAAGTTGAAGTATATATAGTTGAAGTACTAGTTGGGATGTATCCGCCTACAACTCATTGAAATCCGCGCTCGGTAGCAGTATTACCAATAGTACTATGTGACTTGGCGTATCTTTTCATATCGCCGAATTTATGAAATTGATCAGGCTCACAAACAACACACTGGTGTTCCGTGAAAACAGAAAATGGAAGAAAAAGTTATGCTGCGAAGCCCGTTCAGGCGCAGTCTATCCGGCGCAGCCCACGGTCGGCAATTCGGCAAAGCAGTCGGTGGTTGGAATACGTACAGTTGTTGGCACCCTTTACTGAGTCTTTATACATAAGGTGCAATAGCCATACTTGGGACGAGTAAAAGTGTGCCAATTCAGAGGAATAACAGGTCAGAGGGTAATGCGTCATTCTCTCGTCTTTGCAGTGCGGTGATCGGCCTAAGTCACAAGTATAACAGGGATACAGTGCTCCTTGTGCAAAATAGCCAATGTCGTTCCAGTGCTGCACAAACTTCAGCACCACTTCATCCTCCACGGTCCTCGTCTGGCGCAGAGTGGGCGAACAGGCCCGGGAGCGATCAGTGGCCAGGAGAACATGCCCACACACGGCAGGTTGGAACAACCGCGCAAAAAATGCCTTCTGCTTCAACACGGGGTACCTGCGTGTGGAGCCCTCCGTCTCGGCGGCTTCCACCACAGCAGCATCGAGATTCGGCCTACACTCGGCCCTTATGTACTGCATTCATCAGGGGTCGCTAACCTCGAGGCTATACTAGTGGCATGGGAGAGACGGGCCGACCGGATTTTTCTGACCGGGAGTGAAAGACAGCAGTCAAACCCACCTCCATCAAACAGTCTGGGGTAACAACCGTAGCGCAGCAATCGCTCTTGCGAGCGGCTGTAGTTGTTGTATCAAGATAGCGGAGGGCGCGCCGGTTAATGACTGGCGAAGAATAACGCAGAGCCCAGCTCGGTTGATGAATGCTAGCACCGGAAAGGGTAGTGGACCATGTCTGTGAACCGCCTGCTGGCTGAAAGCAAGACACGAAATTAGCCTTCATCCTACAACCTTCTCGATTGGTTGCATTGTATGCTGGTATCATTGCCAGTGCGATGACTGCCGGGTTTTGGGTGGGAACCCCACTGGACAGAACCCTGACCACTCTATACCCCACAGACAATCTTGAGATGTAACATATACAGTCGTACGAGGAACATTATGAGATTGTAACGTAAGTCGCTTATGCGTGACTGAGTCAAGTTATTCATTGTGGACGAGACCTCGACTTACTACGCAGGGGGCCTAATAGGCGTCCAGGGCTCAACGGATTTATTTTGGGCGGGGGTATGATGAGTAGCGAGAATGAAATGAGGTGCATAAATTGGAGCGCCTAACCCATGGTACATCTGGATTCAGCATAGCCACGCCTTGTCGTGGTGCGGCATGGAAACTCGCCCAAGTTGCGGTCTTGAAGGTAAAGTAGATCCCAGCAGCCATCTGGCGTGGTGTTGTTAGTATTGACATTCATCTCCTCGTTTGACCGTACCACATGGTCCATCTTTACGAATGACCTTGGAACAGACCGCGTTGAGGTGGATAGACTGCGAAGGTCTCTCATACGAATTCCGCTCGTGGGTGGAGTCGGGTAAATCCCGAAGACTGGCTGTTTTAGACGGATGGGGAGCCTGATGGTTCTCCTCATGCATTGTCATTTGCAGATGGCTCTCTCATGGGGCGCGCATCACCGCGTTCTGAGTGGATGGTCGGGCTGACGGCCTTGGCCTGGGTAAGACATGTTTCTCCGTGCGGCCAGAAAAGGAAACTAGCATCGAATCACTCTACTGCTAAGCTCAAGACGTATGACTTGTATGAACCACGTACAAGTCTACCCCAGCTTAGTCCACCAAGTACACTAAAATCTCCTCGTAATAGGTATGTCCATCTGTTGCATGTGACCTCCGCTGCCACTCGCACATTGCACTGCCCACGGAGTAAGAATAGATGAGCGAAATAGCTACCCATCACAACCTAGGAATATATAAAGAGCACCAGCCAGATGCCGAACCTAACTCTTGTCTTTGGCATTAATCTCAGAAATTACACATACCTCTATCATCATCAGTGTTACTACGATCGTTGCAAATCCCCTCCTCAGACACCCAAACCTCATAATCCAATTCCTGTCACCAGTTATTGACCACACTGCCATTATGAAGTTCACACTCAAGCTATGTTCCGTTCTCGCTCTAGCTGTTTCCGCAATGGCGTTGCCCACCACCGACACGCGAGTTATCCAACTCCGCCTCTGGGGTGAAACTGGTTGTGCCGAGGACAACATGGGTGAGCTTGGCTTGTACCAATCCGGCCTTGATGAATGTGGCACCTTCGCAGGGCCCTATGCCATTCATTCTATCACCACCTATTACGTCGTAGCAGGATATGCTGGTAAGTCAATCTCTGTCTCTCTAAAGATCTTTCATGTTACCTGACAATTTTTCCCAGCGCAATTCTTCACCGATACAAATTGCGAGGAGGGCGTCCAAAATGTAACTGCTCCAGGATGCCTTGACGGTGACACTGCGTTCGCCAGCTACAAGCTAGTCTCGAACTAGTAGTCTGTTGGAAGTAGACAGGCAGTGAAATGAGGAACGAATCTTATGTGTGAATAATGTTTGCCAATGTTAGGAGGAGATAAATCTGTATCGTCGAGCTAAAAATTTGCACAATTTCAAAGATCGCATATGATAAGCAGAAAAGACACTCGTCTAGGAAAGATCTAGTATGCGACATGCCGCGAGGTTCACTGTGCTATGAATTGCGTAAAGCACATCTGACAAAATGTCGCATTGGTTTGTCAAGGATCTGACTGTCAAAGGGTATGTAAAAGTGGGTGGCATGGACCCTCCCTGCTAATATCGCGTATGTCTGAACCTATTCGTCACATCGGTCTCAACTCCACACAAGTGCAGGTTTGGAACCTTTCAATCTTGGATGTGCATTACCAAAGACCTGGTGATATCTCCGTAGTCAAGTTGAGTGATGCTGTTGCTAATATCCATTCAGACTGTTGGAAGAGATATTTGTTTTGAAACCACAAAGATTTATTATCACCACTCATTGTGACGTTTTGTAGAGACACATGGTTACATTTTGAACAGGTACTTGACGACACCCCCGGGGCTCTGTATGAGTACGCTTATATTGATGCTACAGGGGTAGATAATATAAGATATCTGCTGATCACGTTATCTACCCTTTCTAGCAGCGTTGATGGTTCTCTTATTGAAGCGTTAAGGAAGACCGCTTTATAAGTCCGCATGGCGTGTTGCTATACATGAGAAAACCCTTCTACATCTCTTCCATGACCCAAGATAGAGTGTTAATGAGTGTTATTCCGATATGTCAAGGATCCTGAACACCGTTGTACCAACGGCTATAGAAGTGCCTTCTCGGTATTTCACCACAAAGTCATATACGTCTTCACGAAATATGAATGAGCCGGGGCCCAGAGATTATTTTAATAGACGGGATACATCACCCAAGAATGAAAGCAGATAATGCGGCGAAGTGAAACGATACTTAAAGGGAGATAAAACCCACATCATTCTGAGATACTCCGCTTTTTGTCATGCGCATATTGCGCCGCCAACGGCGCCTCCAGAGGATGGACGGGGTTGCTTTCCAACACAAAGGGCTTGACGGGGTCAGAGCTCCCCTCTGCTGAATTATATGCTGGCTGCTGCAGATTGCGAGGAATTCTGCCCCAGCAGAAAGGCGCCTGCTGTTCGGCGGTCTGACTTTCCGGGGCAGGCGATTCACGACCTTCGAGCTGAGCACAGAGTAGATTCTTCTTTGCCTCCATTTTACGAATATCGTACTGGGGTATTGGTGATTTCAACGAGATGATCGTGTGTACGACGAGTAGCACCCGGCTTTGCTTCGTTTCCTTTTTTTGTCGGACGCGTGGTAACAACCGCACTTCGGTAGCTTATTCGTTGCTTGGATCTAGTAGAAGCCACTATTAGTTTACCGATCTGCCGATATAAGGAGGAATACTAGGCAAGGGCACCTTGCATTTCCAGAAGTTGTTACGGAGCTTGCAGGATTCATGAGGGAGAGATGGATGGGGCACCCCGGTCATAATCAGGTATAAGTAATCATGACGACTGTGCCCTTACTAATAAGGTCATCTGCTCTCCAGATTAAGAAATCAATCGTCCGAAAACACCATATAAGTGGATGTTGAATTTCACCTCTCTGTGGAACCATGGTTCATCATAACTCTCCTTAACCGTAATATCTCGAAAGGACAGCAGCCCCGGGAAGATGCAATGCCATCTTAATCACACTAACAATTGCAGGCAATTTCTAAAAGGTTGTATATCTATTCACCTGATCCTATGTGCTTAATGGGAGAAAGATAATTTATCAGAATATAGCTTCACATTACCGAAGCATCGTCGTGATTCACACCTCCAGATCAGTTAGTCTCCACAGTCTAGGTCAAACAATAAGAATGAGAGACAAAGTTGAGACATCGAATGTCGCGGTACTCATGAAATCTTCTGTAACAATATCAGCCCCGAAGAAAGGTTATCATGTTTCAACGACTTGTCCATCAAGACGGCCCGCTCACCGCAGGACGGCAAAGGCCAACTACATATAGGAAAATGTTGCTAACTATATTGGTTTGGCCACTCACAATATTCTTCTAGTTTCCAAGTGACCACTAACGTATCATTGGAAATCAACACATACGATACTTCTAGCAAGTCTACGTATAACGCCTCAGGTCTGATATTTCCCTTTCAGTGCAGCGACTACGGCGTCACCAAACTCTTTAGTGCCTGATTTGCCCCCGAGATCAGGAGTGCGAAGTCCCTTGTCTAGAACAGCTCGCACAGCATCTTCAATCTGGCGCGCTTCGATCTCCATGTTGAAAGAGTATCGAAACATTAGGCTCACACAGAGGATCATCGCAGTTGGGTTTGCGATGTTCTTGCCGGCTATTCTTCAAGCTATTAGCAATAAAAGAAACAGGATATCAAAGAACACTTACGTCGGAGCGGAGCCATGTGTTGGTTCATATAGACCGCGAACTTTTTCCTTCTTGCCGGGATGAGGAAGACCATCCAAGCTAGCACTGGGCAGGACACCTAGTGTTCCCACTAGTGACCCCGCCTGGTCCGATATCATATCACCAAAGGTATTGTCCGCCAGAATCACACCGTTGAGGACTCGGGGCTCGGTAGCCATGATCAATGATGCTGAATCCGCGAGCTGGTGGATCAACCTCACCTGTGGATACTCTATTGAAAGGGTTTCCTCGACAACACGGCGCCACAGACGTGATGATGCTAAGACATTGGCTTTGTCAAGAGAAATCACGGGCCATGGTGGGTCATGCCGCAGGGCAAGCTCTGCAGCGAGACGAGCAATGCGTTGAATCTCAATAGTGGAATAGCCCCACTCATCCATTGCTGCACTCGTAATACAGAATAAACATTAGCCACCTTCTACTTCTCACTCAGTGGATTCAGATTTACCGTAATTGTCCTCCTCAACCTTTCTGCCAAAATAGGCGCCTCCACAATTCTCTCGCACGACTACAAAATCGACCCCCTCGATCACCTCCTGTCTGAACGGTGAAAAGTCCCGAGCAATTTCGCGGCTTGGAACTCCCACAGAGCACGGTCGCAAGTTTGCATAGATATCCATGATCTTGCGTAACTGTAATAGACCCCCCTCTGGGCCGTCAAGTCCGCGCCTGATGTGATCCCACTTTGGACCCCCAACCGCGGCGAAAAGGACGGCGTCTGCAGCAACTGCGGCATCTTTTACGGGCTGTGTAACGGATTGGCCATAGGTATCGATAGATATGCCGCCAATAAGTTCTTCCTGCAGATGGAACTGGACTGAGGCAGTGTTGAAGGTTCGCAGGACCTTTATGGCTTCGGCCATGACCTCCGGACCGATCCCGTCCCCTGGGAGGACAAGAATGTTGTAGTTTCTCGAATCCGACATGGTGTTCGTAGCCTTTTTGATATGAGTGAGTAGCAACCAGCGCAGGTGCGAAAGTCCTGAGATCTAGTAGAGCATCCCTCCCGTAGGGACGGTGATACTAATCCGTTCCGCGGTCGGAGATCAGGCCGAAAGTGCGGGGAATACCAACAACCGGCGTTCCCCCGATAATGACTATCCCTTTTCTTCGAGAGACATGGATCTGCTGCCATTCTCCTCCCGATGAATATTATTCATCACAATGAACAGCCCTCCGGAAAATCGAGCTAAGAGAAACACTGGAGATAGTCTGGGAAGCTATAGAACCGGTCTATCTAGTATACAAGGTTGACTTAGACCCGGGACACTATTTATCACTATAGCACCTCTCACACACAAATATTACCCTAGTTCATTTCCAGCTTTTCTCATATTCATTATCTTGGTAGCTCGATACTGATGATAGCAGTATAAAGATCAAGGGATTAGCACAAACTATCTCAACTCTATTAGCACCTCCTCGCGTGTCTTCTGCCACGATCTGTACGAATAGTCTACGGTCGACCGAACGTCTTCTCTAAGAATACGCTCATCTTCAAGATACCCAAGCGGAGGCCAGTTCAAAAGTGAAACAAGCGATATGAGAGGGAGGCACGGAAACCTCGACACGAAGGCCCGTCCGGCGCTAGGAAGGGCTAGGGCCAAATTAGCCTTGTCCTAGTCCTTTCCAGACGACCCATAAGTCTAATGGGGATACGCCTGTCCGCATATTATCTTTCTTTTTTTTTTCTTTTCTTTTGAGACCACATGATGCCAATGAACTTGGGCTACAATAATCCACACTTGTAGTGGTGATAGAGTAACAGAACCAGGTAATATACTCTACCGTATACGATCTACCGAAAGCTATCGCGACCCCAATTTCAGCTCCCGAGAGTTACGTTTCGGCCGATTACAGCGCTAATGCAGGCAAGCTGCGCCATCATTTCGCCCTCTCAATGTAATAAGGGGGCTGTGATACAACTGTTTTCTGTATTACCACGTTTGCCCCTTTGCGGTGCGGCACAAGGCTGAGCGAAGCAGCCAACTATTTGAACAATCACTTGCCTGCCTCCATATTCAAATAGCAAATGGAGATTAGCAATTTGACACCTTCAGAATGATGATCAAAAGCATCTGTGGGCTCATTTGCCTGCAATTCTTATACATTGTGGGCGCATTGGGGGGGAAATACGCCCCATTGCAAGCTCACACCAATGCTGACAAAGACGCCACCATCGCCATTAGACGGGCTCTACACGAGGCTAGAGGGACGACATACTCGATGAACCAGACTCTGTTGACAAAGAGTTGGGCAAACGCTACTATATTTTCCATCGGAGCAAGGTATTCAAATTAACTACGCTTGCTCCATAACGCAAAGTACACACACTAATTTTGACGCTCTTATCCTAGCACGGAAACTTCTGCTGGGTCAAAAAACGGGACAGTAGGCCTGCAATCTGGCCTAGAAATTGTCTGCAAAGCCTGCTATATTAATGGTACTGTTGGTGGCTATTTGACAGTCGAGGATGGGTTCAATGTCACCACGGTCGTGGATAGCGCCGAGGCAGATATTGCGAATGTCACAGATTCTGCACTTTCTCAGCTAGAGGATTTTGCGCGTGAAGCCGCCCGCGATATTCTCGAGGACATCTCCCAGTTCCAATTGATCGATATCCCCGCTTGGCCGACATTGG